GAGGAACTCACTAAGCTTTGTATTACGGTTTTCAGTTTATGTTTCAGGTACTTCTGGTTCGAAAAGGAAGAGCTCGTTGGAGTTGTTTAGATCAGTCCCTACGATGTGGCCTTAGGCTGCCATGACGTGGCGAATGGGGAATCATCGACTGTTTTGAAATTTAGTTCCCATGACGTGACTAAGGAAGACCACGATGTTGAGGGTTGTTGATTGACAATTTTGACCGTTGACCTGGACCGTTGACTTTGACTTGAGTTGACTTTTGGTTAAACTCATAGTTTTGGAAGGATGGCTAAGGGTTTACCTTGTGTGACTTTATATGTGATGTATAACTTGTGTATTTCCGACAGTGAGAGCAGTAGCAGTGATTATCATCTAAGAGGTGAGTCTTCTCATTGTACTTATGGGTCGAAGGCACCAATGTCGGCCTACTGGATTGTGTTATGTAGGATGCTAGCTGTCTTTGTGACTCTTGCATGTATGTTTGGGTTGAAATACACCGTAGGGTTGGGCCCACTATTATATGTTTGGGTTGAAATATACCCCAGGGTTGGTCCCATTATCGTATGTTTGGATAAAAAGTGTACCCCAGGTCTGGGCCCATTATTATATGTTTGGGTTGAAATATACCCTAGGGCTGGGCCCACTATTGTATGTTTGGATTTGAATATACCTCAGGGTTGGACCCACTGATTTGTATGATATGTGGTATTTTGGGAAGGGCCTGACATGATTGCACAACATTCCCTTTTGATTTCCGCATTGATGATTATTCTTCTCTGATGTTTTTGATACATTGTTATGATGATTTGAGACACAGGATGTATGTTTTGATGATTTAAAAAAAATTATCATTATTTTTAGGTTGTTACAAAATCATTTATTAGAATTTATTAATCATATAATAAATCAATAAATCAACCTCTCTCTCCAAATGCCATTCTACACAATTACTAGTTATGAGGGCAACCCAAAAATGATTTTGCTTTCATTTCAAGTATATACCAATTTAGTTATGATCTTAGATACCTTAATCTGACACCACCGTGTAATGGCAAACCATTGGTTGTATTGTGGCCTAGTCACGAGAAAGTAGTCTGGGACCTCCTCGACCACCACGTCGTGGTCAGTCCTTGAACGCACCACAGATCACGTATAAAGTAGCTTAATCTATTAAGCTCTTAACCCTTAAATTTAAAGCTCCAAAGTTTAGATCTGGATAGACTCAAGCCATGTATGGATAAAGTTTCCAACTTTATACATCCCTTAACCTATAATGACCTAGATCTTGAACCCTAACATCAAAATTGACCAAAAATGACCTAAAACCTTTGCATGGCTTGAGTTGAGTGCAATCACTCGACTTTATGTGACTATAAGGTCCAAAAACCATCATCAATTCAAACCAAGGTCTTGGAGTTGCTCAAAACTCTAAGAATCTTCCTCCAAAGGCCAAAAAGGGATATCTAAGCATGCTCAACAACCAAATAAGGAGAAAGGTAAGAACTTTATACATTCAAAAGCCTGGAAATGCTTAGAAGATCAGCTCTCAATTACAACCAACTCCAACAACAAAGAATGACCACCACCTCCTTCTTCTAAAAACACTCAAGATCTTGAAACACAAAGGAAACACATACTAAGGCACCAAGAACACATACACACATACAATTAGGTTTTCTCCCTGGAAGGTGGAGGCTAATTATTAGACAAAACCCTAGCCCTAATGTTGCTTAAAGAGGGCACACGACCCAAGATCTAGGTTTTGAGCCTCGTTGTCACCGCGTCGCAACCAAATCGTAGTCATTTAAATGGCGTGGTCGCACCGCGATGGATATCCACCACCGCGTCATCGCGGCGTGGTCTGTCAAAATCCTAAAATTCTAGACTTAAGATAAATAACTTCAAGAAGAATAATACCTGAAAACGGATGTAACATTTTATATAATTGTAAAATATGTTTTTCTTCATATTGTTATAAAGTACATTGTTCATAATATGCAATACTTGATATAAATTTAAATATATCATTGACACCATCTCATTTCTATCCGGTAGATAATTGTATATAAATTTTCTTAATTCGACGTATATCAAACATGACATTTTTCGGACTCAAAAACTGTTTTTTATATGATTATAAAGTAGTTATTCTATAGTTATAAGGTATGTTCTTCGTACATCATCGTAATCATAATGATGAAATATGAAGTTCTAGAAACATTCGAATCCACTTACTATTGATAAATGGTATGTCATTTTCTATTAAACTTAATGCTCTAAATATCATGTAATTTCGAAATTAATTAATTAATTATATTATTGTAATCGTTATAAATATTCAAGTTCAACGATGAGTTCTTCCTAATTTATCTAAATACAAAATATCACCAAATAAAAAATATCACTAAAATACAATTGATGACAATTTAATCACGTCGGACTATTGGGACGTAATAATATGCATTGTGTGTTAAGTTTTAAGGATAACTAAGAAAGCAGTCCAAAATGATTTGTTGAAAGTCGACCACATTGGACCGGCAGACTTAATGGTCTTGGGACCATTACATAGGCAAGGCCACCTCAAAGAAATACTATCAAATAACAATTTGTGAATGTCCACTCGTAAAATATTAATGGGCGGTTGTATATCTGTTAGGAGGGAGTCATTCTCTCCCAACCCACTGAACCCACTGTCACATCATTTTTTCTCTTTTATTTTTCTTCATCTTTCCGAACCCACAATACATGGAAATCCTATCTTTTTGAGCTCACTCAACCCACTCAATTAAAAAAAAATACAAAACAATCAAATGTAAAATCTTAATTAGCAATAGAGTTATCGGCGGTACTACTCCCGCTTCAACGAGTGAGTTGAGTGGTTTCACTAACCCACTTCATCATCTCTATCTACTTTCTCTTTCTTATTTTCTCTTGTACCATGTGTTTTAAAACTTATACCTTAGTTGTTTTGTATTTTTTTTAATTGAGTGGGTTCAAAAAGATAGGATTTTCGTGTGTTGTAGGTTGAGAAAGATGAAGAAAAAGAAGAGACAAAAATTGATGTGACAGTGGGTTCGGTGGGTTGGGAGGGAAGGACTCCTTCCTCCCTTAGTTGGACGTTTATATATCGGATTACATCAATAAAATTATTTTTTATTTTGTTTTTAGGACTTATTTTTACATCAAAAATATAAATTAAATATATCAAAATTTATAATTTTTTCCTCTCTCTCTCTCTCTCTCTATATATATATATATATATATATATATATATATATATATATACACACTAGCTATGTACCCACGCAAAGCGGCGGCGATAAATAGTTTTTTACGGCAATTGATTTTATTTGGAAACATCTTACTTTCAAGGAACTTGATCTATCAACATATACATAAAGTTCACATATTTAATAATTATGGATCCAACACTTTTCTTCACCAAATGGTCTCTTGCCTAATTGTATAGACGATAGTAGAAATGTGTTGTACAACTATAGATTGAGGGCTTAAGTCATGCTTACAAGTAAAGATACAAATCCATTTATTTCGAATATTTTTCTTTGTAACAAATTTTAAATGGGAGGAAGCTTTTTTCTTTTAAAAGGTAAAAATAACATTTGAAAACAATCATAAATGCTATTGGTTAGTGTTTCTTGCTAGATTTGACCATATATTTTCTATTATTTAGATTTTGAGGTTTCATTTATGTTTGGTTGTTTTTAAGGTAAGCGAAGGATTGACTCACTTTTATTCTGTGTTTAAGTAGAAATTGGTGGCAACATCTAAAGGAGGGGAAAATAACAAAGAAAAAAAATGAATTAAGCCCTAAATTTACCAAAAAAAAGGAATCATACAAATACAGAGGATACGAAAAATCAAGGAACTGATTATCACCTTTAACACAACGATAGTCCTGAGAAGGAATCGTGAACGTGGACTTCTAAACAACACAATAACTGTAGAAAACATAAGAGAAGAAGTAGAAGGTCGATTCGAATTTGGAGCATCGATTGTCGATTCCGGTATTGTATGTGCCGCCGGAAGGACGATGCTTAAATGTCGATATCATAAGAAGCTTCAATTGAGTTTCAATTTAATGAAGTTGTCTCTTTAAAATTGATATTTCCAGTTTTGCCCCCACACTGGAGATAGTCAGGCAGATTGCTATTGTGTTTAACGATATCACCAACTTTATGTGCCATATTTTCTGACCTCTGGTTCTTGTAAGCTATGGCACTTGTTTTTCTTTCATGATGTTTGCTAACATGTAACCGGTTTCCCATTTTAGAACATTCTGTAGATTCTCTAATCTTGTTTTCTTGTAAAGATGGAGCTTTCTCCTTCACCCCTTTTGAGGTTTTCTGTAATCCAACAAAACAGAGAAATGGAGACCAGAAAGGAAGAGAACGTTATAAAGCAAGCAAAGAAATCAACAAATAGAAAGCGAACCTAGGGAGCTACTTTATGTATGCAAGTAATTGATTCATCAATGATCATGAAAGTGGAATTGAAAGAAAAATCAAGCGGATAGAATGTTCCAATTACCTACAGGTACTCTGATTATCAGATTTCCAATTTCAAATTTGGAAAAAATCATAACAAAAATATATTTGAAAAGTAAACCCTAATTGTTGAACCGGATATGAACATCTTCTGTAAATTCAACTATTACAGAAGAAGAAATAAAATAATATCAAATATCAGATCCTCTTTTTGAAGGAGAAGAAGTCAATGGAAGTACATGTGAACGCCTAGACATTTGGCGATGAATCCCTTCTGCATTTTTGCCCTTATTACCATCCAATATTACATATTTACCATCTTTCTCTGTCTCGTTCTCTTTGGTATCTTGATTAAACTCGACCTTTTCTCAGATTCTAATTCCATCAATCTTCTCAATGATTTCTCCTCTGCATCTCTCAAAAATTTTAACGTCGGAGGTGGTGAAGATGTAATCTTTTTGAAATCAAAATCCTTAGAGTGAAAATCATACAATGGATTACAGAAATGCTAGTGATGAAGACCTAAAAAAAGCCTACCGTCGTCTCACCATGATTTGGCACCCGGACAGAAACCCTAGCAGTAACAAAGGAGAAGCGGAAGCCAAATTCAAGCAGATTTCTAAAGCGTATGATGTGTTAAGCGACCCCAAGAAGCGTCAGATCTACGATCTTTATAGGGAAGAAGCTTTGAAGTCCAGCCAAGTCCCTCAGCCCCATCCTTTTTCCTCCAATCGAGGTTACACCGCTCATCACTACATACGAAAAGAAAAATCACAAACCTCAAAGAAGCACAAATGGGTAGATCTATATGTACAATTCATCCACAGGGAGTGAACCATCATCCACGTAATCATCCTTGACTCAGCCCTTCAAAATAGCTTTCGCATCAGCTGTGAAAGGGGGAAAACCGTTAAACCAGCGAGTAATCAACAGAAAATGAAGGAGTTGTGCGAGGAGGTTAAAATTAGTACCTCTAACTTCATGAAGTCTTGCTTGTTCATCTTGATTGATCGTCTATAGCTTGTTTGTGAATAACACAAATTCAGAAAAAAAATAAAAGCAAAGAAGTGAAGTAGGTGATCGACATTGGAGAAATCAGTGTAAAGCCATGCGTTCTTAGAAGCGGAGCAAGAACCATAATTTGAAACCCACAAATATCAAAATAAAATAAAGCTTGAACTTACTGTTATCATCGTAGTAGAGTTTTCTATTTCATAGGGTTTGGATTTTGAAATCAAATAAGAGTTATAGTGGGAAGTGATATATATGGAGAAGAAATCAAGAGAATGGAACCAGAGGTCCAATGGGAATGAAAAGGAAGAGGGGACCACCACCATAGGCAGTCGTCGTTGCTGGAGGCGATTCGACGTCTTCCGGTATCGGAGCTAGAGAACCATCAACGATATTGAAGGAGGTAGACTATGCGTTTCTAGTAGAAAGAGAAAGAGTAAGGCAATATTGGTGACATCGATAGTAGAACTATGGAAGTGTGGTGGAATGCCAGAAAAGGGAAACATGGTAGGATACAAGTTAACGTGGGAAATGGTGGAAGCGTGCTTTTTCAGCTCCACAGTACTGACTACTATTTCTCTGTATCAAAGATGCAACAACACTGAGAGTGGAGAATGGGAGATGGTTCCTGACGGCTGTGAGGCGGTGGTGAAGTTCGTTGTCAGGTTTGAGAGAGTTGAATTTAGGGTTTGAGAGACCATGTAGTTTGATTGTATTTGAAGATGTGTGCTTTTTAAATTTTAAATTAGGCGAATTGACTGGGAACTTAAATGACAATTTGGTTTTGAAGAGCACTGGTCAAGATAAGAAACAACAGAGAAAATAGGGAAAGATACAAGAGCCGAGTCAAAGATATGGATTGATTGAAATTATAATATTATTATATTTGTAGGTTGTTGTACTATTAGCTTTATAGTTTGGACGTCTTAAAAAAATAATATTATTATAATGAATCTATTTTTAGAAATAGTAAGATTTCTTTTATAAGATAGTAAAGATATATTGTTATACCTTTTTATTTTATTTTTTTAAAAAAAATCTATTTATTCAGATTAACACGTAAATAAGAACTTTGTGAATCAAAATTATATATAGTTTACATATATTAATTCATTCTAAATTAATCATTGTACCCGATCTTACAATAATTCTGTATCATTCACATATTAGTTTGAATGAATTTACTTATAAATTTAAGTAAATTTATGTATGTACTAGTTTATAACCCGTGAGAACCATGGTTGTAAAATTAATTAAACTTTCATATTAAAAAATCAAAATTATTAATCAATTATTTTAAATAAATTACTATTTAAGAGATATTTTTTTTAATTATATAAAATTACAATCGTTGGTTTAAATAAATACGTGAAGTTATAACGTCTTATAATATGTATTAATTTAATTTTATTTTTTAATCAAATGTTATTAATTTAATATAATTAAAATGAAAATTTTAAAATTTTGAAATTTAAAATTTAATGTAATTAGGATGAAAATTTTAAAATTTAAAATTTGAAATTTAAAATGGATAATTAATATGTTGACAAGTGGCATGATAAGAGACATATAATATTAATGACGAGTTCTAATATAATGACAATTGTCAACAGGAGAATAAACCTATTCATTTATTAGAAAAGAGAGATTGTTAAAATCTTAGAAATAGTGAAAAAGAAATCAAACGAATTACTTAGATTAACGTGCGGATTTAGTCAGATTCTCATGCGAATAAGAATATTTATTCAAAATTTACATGTAAATTCGATACGTATAAATTAATGATAATTCACCTAGATATTTATCATTTATATATATCATTTATATTTGAATAACAATCATGTAGACTAAAAATTTGATGGATATTACAGTTTAGATTTTCATGTGAACTTCAATTGAAACTTTGGATGAAAAAAATATTTTTTCCATATCGATATAAATATCTATTTCTAGAGAGTAAACATTTATGAACTTTGATACATTCACTTTTAAGATAAAAATAAGCAGTAATTTTTTTTAAAAAAAAAAACATTTTTTTTGTAATCAGATACTTATACGGCCAATGTAAATAGTATAATTGTGTGGATAAAAATAGTTGCTTGGTTCCTTGATTTTTATCTTTATTAAACTTTACTTTATTTCGTAATATATAATCTTTTTCTTTGATTTATATTTTATTAATAGCATGTAATTATGTTGGACCATTTGTCAGTTAAAATTGATTAATGAAAAATCAATTTTTTTATTATTCATCTTTCTATTACAAGATCAAGATAATTATCAAAATAATAAGAAAAAAAATTAATAGATTTCAAACTAGAAAGAAATCGATGTTTGTTTGTTTCTGTATTAGGTGTGAGAGTCATGTATTACATGAGTTTATTTAGAAGAAAAATTAAATATGAAATTCAAAGTATTTGAGAAGTTTTAATTTATAAGAAAAGTGAGAAAAATATTGAATTATTAAATTTAAAATGTTTTTTCTCTTTTAAATTTAAACAAATAATTTAGATAAATAAACAAAGGAAACTAATAAGACTTTAATTTATTAATTTTGAAATTAGAAGGAAAGTCTATTAATAAAATTGAAATGCATTTATTATTATATTTAAATAATATATGGAATTTAATAAATGGATAAACAATAAAATGACATGTAAAATAAAAATAAATTTAAAATAACCACAAAATGACATGTGACAAAATAAATTTAAATATGATGATCTAAAAATTTAGGAAGTTTGAGTTTATAAAGAAAAAAAAATATTGAATTATTGAGATGTAATGTTTAATTTGCTATTTTAACTTTAGTATTTCTCTTTTAAATTTAAATAAATAGTTAAAATAAATAAACAAATAAAATAATTAGATTCAGTTTAGATACTTTAGAAAAATTAAAAGGAAAGTTGCATTAATGAAATTGATATACATTTATTATAATTATTACATTTGAATATTATGTGAAATTTAATAAAATAGAAAAAAAATCATAAAATGACAAGTGGAAAAAAATAAATCAAAAAATCTTAGAAAATTATATGTGTCAAAAAAAAATGAAAACATAACATGTATTAAGAAGATGACCCGGTCCAAACGTATATGGGGCCTGAGGCGAAAAGAAAAAAAAAGCCCCTTAAAGACAAATATAATAAAGATTAAAAAAAAAGATCATTTATTTTTCATTATAAACGCCTTCAATTAGCAATAACAAGCAAACGAAATTGTTTTTTGAGCTAGTTTGAGTTTGAACCAACTTTAAACCCTAAAAATCATTTAGGTAATAATATATATATATATATATATATATATATATATATATATATATATGGGAAAAGTGAATATACATTACAGCCCCACCTAAGCTTAGGTACCAAACATCATGAAACTTAGTCGTTTGATTAGTTAAAGATTTTGATTACGGAATTTACGGTTAACACTTGAAGCTGCAGATTCATGATTGACGAAATAATTGTGATAATGAAGCATGTATATTGATTATCTTCGACCTTCGCGACGGTGGAAAACAGTAATGTTCACTAGGGTGAAGTAATAAACGATAATGGAGGAAAGAAAACAGGGATGATTAAACGATAATTGAGGAAAGAAATTCTATGGGGGTGGTATATTTACTAAGTGAAAACAGAACCAGGTATATTCACTAAGTTAAAAAGATATAGTTTAGAGGTTTAGTACCTAAGCTTAGGTGGGGCTGCAATGTATATTCCCTATCCCCTATATATATATATATATATATATATATATATATATATATATATATATATATATATATATATATATATACACTACATAGCCCATAAATTTTGGGCCCCCTGCAGACGTGGGCCTTGTGCGGTCGCCCGTGTTGCCCACCGTCTGGACCGCCCTGAAGATCTTTATTTATTAGGTTAGATATATCATCTACATTGACGGCTCCGATCTATCATTGGCTTGTACAAAAATAAAATAAAAAAGAAGTTTGTATACTATTTTTTTTCTTAAGAAAATAGGGGAGACTTGGGTTGATTACAATAAAAGAATGGCTATTTACGGCCTATTCATCCAAACTAAATACTATCTTCTTTATATTTAGACAATTATTTTGAAAAAAAGCCGATATAGTCGGACACCCAGATACATCCGCACAGTTGACTCTGATTATCAAATACAATTATCCATATTTCGCTTATGATTTTTCCCTAATTATTCTTAATTGAAGCATTTTTATATTTACAAGACAGTTTAAGTTTTTTTTCTTTTATTGAGCATTTTTATATTGAAGCATATGTGATCGCTCCAAAACTGCCAAGAAATTAGATTTTAACACCATTCACATCAATCTTTTTATTGGTTGACAATTTCCTTTTAATATCTTCCTCTATTTTATAAAAGAGTAGTTATTAGTGTTATTTGTCATTTTCCTATAATTGACGTTTTTTTTTCAAATACTCTATAAAAATGACACTTGTCGTTTTCTCATTATTTTTTTTTAAATTATTGATGTTGATAATAAGTTAGACAATTATTTATTTAATCCACGATTATTAGAAGAATTTTATATTCGTCTTGAATAAGTTTCGGTTATGGTGGCCGATAATTAATTATATTTCTATATTGAAAATCCTACAAATTATGTTTAATTAATAACTTATTAAAAATAAATTATTAATAATTATGAGTTTTACTATAAATTTTTTATTATTTTTGTACCAGTGGTTCTCACGGGCTATAAGCTAGTATTAAAAATATTGTAATATATTTTGTTATAGTTCCAATTATATGATATAACAATTGTAATAGGAACATTAAAGTTTATTATTTTTCTA